TCCCTTCATGTATTTCCTCGATCACTGCCGCTGCCAGGCTCGGCGGGAGGCATCGGAGGTAGGGTCCGCCGAACGTCTTCTTGTAGAGCTGCCCGTCAATAAGTTCAAAGTTAGGGGCACGCCTCTTTACCCATGCGGCTCTTCCTGTACTGCCATCATCCTCGGGCTCAGGGAGTGTTCCATCTCTGAGGTAATCTGCTATCTCCTTCGCCCAGTTAGGTTCGGCCATGGAGATAACCTCCACCTGGATGACGTCCGTTGCCGGTACTGGGAACACCTCCTGCCTAACGAAGCCTCTAATGTGTTGGGGGATGCCTGAGGCCGGATCATCGGTTGGGGGGTTGCTTAGTTTCGACAGTATGTCCGCCTCTGCATTCTCCACCCGCGATACCTGCTCAAGCACCACCTGCTCAAATTGTGCGGTCTGTTCCTCCGCCAGCTCTTTGTAGACCTTCATTCTCTCTTCCCTGGTTTCTGCCGTGCCGTTCATCTGGGTTACCACCAGCTGGCTGTCCATTCTCACCTTCAGACGAGCTGCTCCGAGGGCTTTCGCGCATTTCAGACCTGCGATAAGCGCCTCGTATTCAGCCTCGTTGTTGGTGACCTTGAACTCGAATTTCATAGAGTAGTAGGCCTTGAAACCTTCGGGGGAAGTGATCACCGCTCCCCCGCCACAGCCCCGCGCACTTGAGGCCCCATCGGTGTACATCTCCCACCAAGTGTCGAAGTCGTTGCTGTCATGGGTTTCGTCCTTGGTGCGCGCGGTGCATTCTGCAATGAAGTCCGCCAGTGCCTGTCCCTTGATCGTCGGCCTTGGTTTGAACTCCACGTCATACTGGCCGATCATCAGGGACCACTTGGTTATCCTCCCGCTCGCCATTGGATTCCTGAGGATGGTGGCGAGGGGTTGCGTTGTGTAGACGGTCACCGGGTGTGCCTGAAAATACGGCGCCAGGCGCTTGATGGACGCAATCAAGGCAAGGATCGTCTTTTCCATCAGTGTGTATCTCGTCTCGGGGCCGTTCAGCGCCTTACTCACGAAGTATATTGGCCGCTGGACGGCTTCAGACTCCTTTAGCAGCACAGCGCTCACAGCTAGGTCGGCTACCGCAAGATACATGTACAATCTCTCCCCGGGATCCGCTTTGGTGAGGACGAGCGGAGAAGAGAGATATACCTTGAAGTCTTCAAAGGCAGCCTGGCACTCCGAGGTCCATTCAAAGGGATTGGCTTTTTTCATGATCTGGAAAAAGGGAATCGCCTTATCAGCCAGTTTGGATAAGAACCTGCTCAGGGCCGCCAGACGTCCGGTGAGTCGCTGCACATCCTTTAGGTTCTTCGGGGCCTCCATGTCCATAATTGCCTTCACCTTCTCCGGGTTAGGCTCGATCCCCCGCTCGCTCATCATGTAGCCGAGGAACTTGCCGCCCCGGACGGCGAAGGCACATTTCTTCGGATTGAGCCTCATGCTGGCCCTCTCCATGATGCCGAAGACCTTCTCCATGTCCTGGACATGGTCCTCCTTCCTCTTGCTCTTGATCAGGATGTCATCCACGTAAGCTTCCATTGTTTTCCCAAGTACGTCTTTGAACAACATCCCAATCATCCTTTGAAAAGTAGCCATGGCGTTCCTCAGGCCAAACGGCATGACGATGTAGCAATACACGCCGTCCGCCGTGACGAACGCCGTTTTCTCGGCATCATCGGGGTGCATGAACACCTGATGATAGCCCCGGAATGCGTCCATGAAACTGAGCAGCTCACAGCCTGCCGTTTCATCTACCAGCAAGTCGATCCTCGGGACGGGGTATGGATCCATCGGACAAGCTTTGTTCAGGTCCGAGTAATCGACGCACATCCGCCAAGTGTCGCCCTTCGGGGCTAGTACCACGTTGGCCAGCCACTCCACGTGGATGACCGGCCGGATGTGTTTAATGCTGAGGAGAGTTGCCGTCTCCTTCCTGATGAAATCGCGTCGGTCGGCCGCCATGTATCTTTTCTTTTGCTGCACAGGCTTGGCGTCCGGCCGCACAGCGAGTCTGTGGCATATGAGGTTGGGGTCGATGCCCGGCATGTCCTCCGGTCCCCTGGCGAACAAGACTCGGAACCTCCGTAGGACAGCTATGACCCCCGCCCTGATCTCCGGCTCTAGATCTGCACCGATGGACACCTTCCTGTCCGTCGGGTCGTCGAGCTCGATTTCCTCCAGCAGAGTTGCTGGTTCCAGATGAGCATCCAAGTCGGCCTGTTTGGCCTTCTCGGAGATGCTGTTGACCCGAGCTTCCCGCTCGTTGAGCTTCTCCATCGCCTTCGTGTAGCAGGCCCTGGCCATATGCGGGTCCGTACGTGCCACTCCCACTCCAGTGTCGGTGGGGAATTTGATGCATGAGTGCCGTACGGAGCATATGGCCTCCAAGTCTTCCAAGCCGGGTCGGCCCAAAATGGCATTGTGGGCGCATTTTAGGCGGACCACGACGAACGTCATGCTGATTCGGGCCGTATGAGGACCGTCGCCGATTTCTACTGGCAAGGCGATGGTACCCTCGGCGTCGATGCAATCCCCGGTGAAGCCGGACAGCGGGGTGCGTAGGGGGTGCAGCATGTCCTTCCTGAGCTTCATTCCTTCGAAAGCCTCCCAGTAGAGGACGTTCACACTGCTCCCGGTGTCAACAAGGACGCGGCGGACGATGGCATCGTTCACGTCCATGCTGATCACCAGTTCGTCCCTGTGCGGTGCTGGCGACATTGGCAGATCAGCGGGGCCGAAGGTAATTGCCTCGATTTTATTGCGCTTGGTGGGGGGTGCTGATACGGAGCCCACATACAGTAATCTCTCAAATTTTTTCCGTTCGGCGGGTGTATCTCCTGTCTCAGCGCCCCCGAAGATCACCTTGATCTCCAACTTCTTCTTCTTGCCCTTTGGGCCAAGGGACCCCTCCGGACGTTTATCTGCACTCCGGTAATCCACGTCCTGAGGTTCTGCCTCGCGCCGGTCGTCGCGGCGCCATGTCTTGTGTCTTGGGGTCGGCTTCTGCTGACTGTTTTTGTTTAGCAGCTGGGTGAATTCGCCTAAATACCCCTGACGGATCAGCTCGTCGATTGCTTTCTTTAATTGGCTGCAATTGTCCGTCAGGTGGCCGATCCTCTGATGGTACTCACAGTAAGCCGATTGGTCAAGCCCCATATACTTCTTCATATCCTGAGGCTCTGCCAGGAGGCCCTTGTCCTTGATGGCCTCGAAGATCTGGCTAACTGGATAGGCCAATGGCATGTAGCGGTCGTCCGGCCGCGACTGGCTGTCTCCGGAGGGAGCCTTCCATGGGATCATCGCTCCGTCCGTCCTCTTCTTTTTGTTCGGGGGTGAGGGCCCGGGCCCCGGTTTGGGTCCAAGCCTGTCCGCCATCTTCCTAGGCTGGGCTGCGGGAACTCCGTCCCGCTGCCTGATCTCCTCCTCAATGGAGGCATATTTTTGTGCCCGAGCCAAAACCTCGGTGTAGCTGGTGCCGGGATTCCTCCTCAGGTCCCGGTACAGATCCCCTGTGGCCAGCGCACTGGTGAACATATTGGTGGCCAGACGTTCGTCCAGATCGTCGACCTGCAGTACCTCGTCCCTCCACCTCACAAGGAATCTAGCCAGTGGTTCGTCCCGCCCTTGCTTGATGTGGGCAAGAGCCGTGACATCCTTCCTGGGGGTGGTGCTGGCAGCAAATTGTGCCATGAACTGCCGGGAAAGCTGTTCGTATGAGTCAATGGTGCCTGGCCTCAACTGGCCGAACCATTCCTGAGCTGGCCCCCTGAGGGTGCTGAAGAACAATCTGCAGATGGCCTCGTCCGATGCTCCCAGCATGGACAGGTTCCCTTGGTAGCTTATCAGATGGGCCTTAGGATCACCAGCCCCATTATACACCAAGTTCCCCGGGGGTCTGCAATCCCGGGGAATCTCGACGCTCATCACCCGTGGGGTAAAAGGTGATGTGAGAGAGAACGAGGGTGTGGCCGAGCCGGCGTCCGCCCGCCTGTTCATCTCGGCTATCTGCCTCTCCATGGCCTCCAGCCGTGCGTCCTGTGCGGCCCTTCCGGGGGACACAGGGGGCGCGGCTTCGGGAGTGGCATTCTGCTGAGCGGCCACAACATCGTGCGGCCGCCTGAAGATCTGTGCACCTCGCCGCTGGAAACGTCGTCCAACGGTGTTGACCCTTGGGGTCTCGTCTCCCCGCGGAATCTGGCGAGGAGCCGATGGTGTGAGAGCCCTGGATGCAGCGATGCTGACCCTGGTCCGCCCTCCCGTTTCACGGGAGCCTGAACCCCCACCTAGCCGTTCGTGGACTGAGGGCCGGTGGTCACTGGATCCCGTCGTATCATCGTACGACTGCATGCGGCGTATGGGAGAGAGGGGCGTTCGCTGAGTGCTTGCAGAGTACACCTGCTCTTGGGCCTCCCGCTCGTCCGCCATGCGACGCATGGTGTCTGCGAGTTCACGCATGAGGCGGGGATCCTGCCTGGCCTCCAGAGGAATGAGGTCAGTGATACCCCCGTTTCCCCCTGAAGTCCATATTGTCGCGGATAATTCCGAGTTCTGGCCGCGATTCCGGCGGCTTGACTCCAGACGCTCGGAGAGATCACGCTGGTTGTTGCTTCCTGACATCGTGTTTGCTGTAGGTAGATTTAGTAGCTGTTTGGGAGAGTTTCTGGAAACTTTTTGCTCAGTTTCCCACAGACGGCGCCAGTGTTGGCGTTTATTCCTTCAACCCGTGGACCCAACACGTAAGCCCAAAGGTTTCGAATGGAGTGGATGTATGGTTATCTAGCCCAACAACTATTAGATGAATCAGGAAACAAGAGTAATAGCAGGCAATGTAAATAGGTATTATTAACTCCGTAATAACTCCCCTAAGTACAATCTACTTGCTAACAAAGGCACGTCGGCCGTTCGTCTTACAAGGCAGTTAGAAATGCTGCGAGTAAGAGTGCTGAAGCTAGTATGCTAAGAATAGAAAGTTGCCAACCCTTTACAATGAAATAAATGCTTCTATTTATACCCGCCAATGGGCAGGTGGCTGTACTGACGTGGCAGCCTGTGGACCGCTGGTGTCCCAACTACCAAATCTTTAGCATTAAATGCACTTCCCGCCAGAATCTAGGTTTCCCGCCGGAATAGTGGGGACGTTCGTCCACCCGGGAAGTGAGTTGGATTCCTCCAAGTGACCTTTGAGGGATATTGGCTGTTCGTCTCCTGGGTCTCCTCCGATGACTATGGGCTTGCTCAGGAGACGTTCGTCGTCACCCCTGATGGCCCGTGGCTCCGCTCCTTGTCCCTGCTTAGACGTTCGTCGGGGTGAGCCGCTGGGCCTGAGTCCTCCAACACCAGACGTTCGTCCATCCCCGTGGCACATGGGCCTGTGGGCTGGCCCAGTTTCTAGCTGGACGGTCGTCTGGCAAAATGGGTTAGTGGGCCGGACCTCGGCTTGGGCCCTTAACCCAACAACGACTAAAAAACAAAATCATTTTATTTTGTGGGAAAGATAGTAAGGGGGTGTTTGGAACTGATTCTGCTTCTGTTTCTTTTTTAAAAGGAGAAGCAGAATCAGAATCAGTTTTCAGAAGCTGGTACCCCCCCAGCTTCTAAAAAAACTGATTCTGAGAGTAAATTAGAGCTCCAGAAGTGCTTCTGGAATTTCACCCAAACACTCCAGCTTCTGCTTCTGTTCCCTGAAAGAGCAGAATCAGTTTTGAGAATCAGATCCAAACACCCCTAATTTGAGGATATCTTTTTGTTGGCATACCGTAGCCCACACTCAAACTTGTCCATCGTAAAGTAAGCATATTTTCCCGTTTGGAGTGGACATGCCTCGCTGTGTGTGCCTATGGTGTGGTCGAGTATCTCTTTCGTGCTTTATTTGAAACACTGCAGAGTTGCTCAAACTCACACCCTTTGGACACGCAATTCATGTCGAATAATCATGGATCCACCCAGAAGATATTTCTTTTGCCTTATCCCGAGCAAGACAGCAAGCAAATGTGACTGTGTGAGAGAGATTCAGACACAATTTCCAGCCCCTTTCACCCTCTGGCCTCTGTCCGTTCCCTGTTCCTGTCCCTTTCTCCCAACGGTTACTGACCTTTCACCTTTAATTAAATAAATGGCCCGTTAACAGCTTAGCTAGGAGTGAGTGCCCCAGTCCCCCCCGCCCACCCACTATCGCCTTCCCAACTTCAAGAAGAAGAACCCAAGCAAAACCCAGGTTCACCAAGCTGAAACTCACGGAAACGCAGGAAAAAGTTGTGATTTTTTTTTGGCCAGGAATTGTTGGGTTTCTTGTAGATCCGGACCCGACCCAGGATGGATTTCAGCTCTTTCTTGACGTCCCTGGGGACGTCGTTCGTGATATTCGTGGTGCTCATGCTCCTCTTCACTTGGCTGTCGAGGAAGCCCGGGAACGCCGTGGTTTACTACCCCAACCGGATTCTCAAAGAGTTGGATCCGGTCGAAAACGGGTATGCGTCCCGGAACCCGTTTGCGTGGATCCGTGAGGCCTTCTCTTCCACCGAAGCCGATATCATCAGAATGTCAGGCGTTGATACGGCTGTCTACTTTGTCTTCCTCACCACTGGTAACAGACTTAATTGATTATTCCATATTTTTTCTCTATATATGGATGTTTTTCTCATCACACTGCGGGCCCACTGGTTTCATCATACGTTTGGAATCTAGAAATTCCAAGGAGAAGAAGCTAGGAATGATAAATGTATAGAGGAGTTTGAAATGAAAGAAAATGAACTGGATAGTAGGCCGTTTGTTCAACATTCAAACTCAATTTTTTTTTGATATTGTAATTATTTACTCCTATTATACAAAGAATTAGAAATCTAACGTAGGAAGTTATTTATGCATGGGAAGCAGATTGATAGAACATCTGTCAAGCTACTCCAAAACTTGTATCGCTGAATGCATTTATTTCAAGATACTTCAAGATATTTAGAAACTTTTTCAGCTTCTCTTTTTAAAACTTCTACTATGAGCCCGTTTGGTAATGGTTATTTGGCTAAAATCCACTCCAGCCAAATTAGTAACTAGGCTACCAAATGTGCTCGGATTCTGTTTACTCTGCTCACTCCGTAAGCAGAGTGAGCAAAATGTGTCTTTTTTTACCACCACACAAAGGAAGAACAGTGCTTCACAGTACACAGTAAACCATATAATTCCCCTGGAGGTTCATTTTTCTTTGTTTTGTTTTATGTTGGACTTCAAAACCACGCAGTTAGGCTTGTTGAGTTCTACTATTAATAGAAAGACATGGTCTTCTTGGGCTCCTTTTATGTTGAGTGGTGACATAGAAACAAATTTAGGGAGAATGGAGTACCCCTACCCTGGTGGCACGTTTTAAATCCTTTTGCTTCATTTCTACTGCAGCCTTGGGCATTTTGGTCATTTCGGGCCTTATACTTCTGCCAACACTCCTGCCAGTTGCTTCAAGTGATCATAGTGTGAGGTTAGACAATACCACCAGCGAAGGGACTTTCAATGATCTTGATAAGCTATCTATGGGGCATGTTGGAGTAAGCTCCCTATTAGGCGGTTCCTTGCAATGCATCTCAATTTTTTTATTGCATTTCCTTGATTTTGAATGTTGAGTTCATCAACTGATTAGTTTGAAGCTAAGCGAGGGGCGTTTGGTTGAGGTAATATGGCATTACCTTAGTAATGTGAGGTAGGTGATGTGAGAATGCCCTGTTTGGTTCATGTTTCAGATTACTCGAGTAATTCAAATTACCATCACGTAGGAAGCTGAGGTAGTGTTTTATTAGCTCTGGAACATGTTTATATTCCATTCACACAATTGCAACCAAACACATCTTGTAAACTTGCATTCCCCAAACCTCACATCATCTCTTCTTAAGTTGCCTATTACATAAGCTAATCTTACATCCGTGAACCAAACGCTGCTAAAAAAGTAATGTTGTAGAGGATGCATTAGTAACTACATCAGATGGACACCTGAATGAAAATTTTATTATATCTTCGACTCCACACTAACCATTCTCATTGATATAAGTAAGGGTAAATGGATAATTTCATTGGAAGCTACGTGAGATAACATGTAATGGCTCTCTAGCATAATTTTTGTCGCTTTTCAACTCTATTCTGCTTAGACATTTATGTTTGCCTTGTCATTCTCCTTCTGCTCAAATCATCAATACCATTGATTGAATAAGTTAGTTTCCGTTAGTAGTGCCTGGTTGCCTGCATCTCTTTCTTCCTATATTGACTTATCTAGATTTCTTCCTATCATCTTCGCAGAAAAACAGTCCACGATTATGGGCATTTATTATTGCCACATATTGGGTTTCTTTTGTGACATACTTCCTTCTTTGGAAAGCATACAAGCATGTTGCTGATTTAAGAGTTGAAGCTCAAATGTCTCCTGAAGTCAGAGCCGAACAATTTGCTATTCTTGTCAGAGACATTCCTCCTGTTCCTCAGGGTCAATCCCGGAAGGAACAAGTTGACTCCTATTTCAGTATGATCTACCCAGACACATTTTACAGATCCATTCTGGTCACAGACAACAACAAGGTTACTCCTATTTCCCAAGTTATCTTGTTTTTTGGTCTCCACTATAATAACTGCTCGCAAATGAATGTCATTCTCTTACTGCAATTTCTAATGATAATGAACTGCATGCTGCAAAAAATTAGTGTCGGTTTGATCCCTGGACTATACACTATTGCTCAATTTGGTCATCACCTTTATTTAGGATTCACCTTGGTCGTTGCCTATGCAACACAGATTCAATTTAGGCCTCGTGCATATTTTGCTGGAGGGTATCTTCGTAAGGTAATGACTAAATTGGGTTGAGATTACGTAAATAGAGACTCTTGGTCTCTGAAATTAGGTCCTAATTTAGTTAACCTGAAAAAACTACCTTATTATTTAAAGCCTGAGTAAGCACTAAGCGACTACCTTCTTATTTTATATGTTAGGACCAAATTAAATCCAATGAAAAACTGTTGACCAAGTTGAGTAAAAGTGTATATAGTCAAGGACTAAATCGAGAGTTGAACTTTTCTTTCCAATTATGGTGGAAGCGTTTTTTCATCTTCATTTTCTCTAGTAGCCTTACCTTTCTTGATTTTTATCAGGCCAATAAAATCTATGAAGAGTTAGTAGGGTACAAAAAGAAGCTTGAACGTGCAGAAGCCATACACGCACAGGCAAAGAATGCAAAACCGGATGGAGCAAGACCCACGAGTAGAACTGGCTTTCTTGGTATTTTGGGTAAAAAGGTAGATTCGATAGATTTCTTTAACGAAAAGATCAAAGACTTGACATCACAACTAGAAGCTGAACAGAAGATCACTCTAAAAGAGAAACAACAATGTTCTGCCATCATCTTTTTCAACAACAGGGTGACTGCAACATCGGCGGCACAAAGCTTGCATTCCCCAATGGTTGACACATGGACAGTGACAGGTGCTCCTGAACCCCGCCAGGTGATTTGGACTAATCTTCACAAGAAGTATTACGAGAGGATAATTCGGCAATACGTTATATATGTCATTGTCTTTTTGACGATATTCTTTTACATGATCCCAATCGGCTTCATCTCGGCACTAACAACACTTGATAATCTGAGGAAGTACCTTCCATTCTTGAAGTTTATCGTTGACCAACCTGCAATCAAGACAGTTCTTGAGGCATACTTGCCTCAACTTGCTCTCATTGCCTTCTTGGCTTTGCTTCCAAAGTTTCTTTTGTTTTTATCGAAGGCCGAGGGGATTCCTTCACAGAGCCACGTCACAAGGGCCGCTTCCGGGAAATATTTTTATTTCAGTGTTCTGAATGTTTTCATCGGTGTCACAGTGGGGTCCACCCTTTTTGATACTCTCAAGTCTATTGAGGATGATCCAAACAAGTTGGTTCCTCTGCTGGCACAAAGTCTTCCGGGCAGTGCAACTTTCTTCCTGACTTATGTGGCTCTCCAGTAATAATGCTCAAACTCTCTTCTTTCTTTTGATGCTCATGAGCTCTTTCCTTTTTTGTTTTAGCATGTTCTCTTCTAAATATTGATTTCCTTAAAAATGGTCTAGTGTAATCCGCCCTCCATCCCATTTTATGAATCTACTCTCTACTTTTGGTTTGACCCATAAATATGTCCACTCTCCTTTGAACCCCACTAATTTTTTCACCTGTTCTAATTTACCCTTTTTTAATTTGGATGCCAATATATTGGTACAGCTTCTATAAAAGTTCACCACTTTGTACTTTTTTAGTGTGTAAAATTGGAAATTTCATCACATGTCATTTGTTTCCTTAATATTTGTGAAAAGAAATTGAGACTTATGAACTGGGATGGAAGTAGTAGTATTCTTTGTGTAGTGAAAATTATACCAGAGCGAACTCTATAAGCATCTATATGTGTAACTGGAAAGCTTAGTAAGTAATAAAATACTCCATCCGCCCCACAAAGATAGTCTGCTATTCCATTTTGGTTTCTACCAAATAAAGTTAGTTTACTTAGCTTATGAATTAGTTAAGCAAAATATAATTAATGGGGTATGAGGACACACACACACACAATTTAAATCTCATGTTTTGTATAATTTGGATTTGAATTATTCTTGACCACTGCAAGAAGGTTCTAGATGTTTGTCTCATGCACCACTTTAGATGTTTGTCTCATACACACACACAAGTTAAATCTCATGTTTTGTATAATTTGGATTTGAATTATTGTTGACCACTGCAAGAAGGTTCTTGCAAGAAGGTTCTAGATGTTTGTCTCATGCACCACTTTAGAATGTGGGAAAGCATGAATTTGACTCTCTTTTGGTTTGGATCGTAGGTTCTTTGTTGGGTATGGACTTGAGTTGTCTAGAATAGTTCCTCTAGTAATATTCCATCTCAAGAGGAAGTATATGTGCAAAACTGAAGCCGAAATAAAGGAGGCATGGACTCCTGGTGATTTAGGATATGCCACACGGTTTCCTGGTGACATGCTGATTCTCACCATTTGTCTCTGCTATTCGGTTATTGCTCCCATTATTATTCCTTTTGGGGCAGTCTACTTTGGCTTGGGATGGCTCCTTCTTCGTAATCAGGTGAACTTATGGTCTTGATGCTTGTTCAACAAATTATTCCGCTATTAATCCATGTTTGCCTTATCAAAACGTCTCTGAAATGTAAAGAATTGCTTGCTTTCAGCTTATATGCAGTGTTGAACAAAGCACCAATGAGTCGACTGAAGCCGAACTGACCATACCTGAACTGATAAAAACCAAATTGACAAAAACCGACCAAAACATAGAAGTTTCGGTTTACGGTTCAAGTCTTTTTCTTTAAAAAACGAACAATCTAACTAAAACTGATGGAAACATGTTGAAACTGACACAAACCGACCAAAAATAACCAAAACAGACGTTAAGTTACTCGGCTCATTTCTTGATTTGCCTTTCTCAAAATGAACCAACCATACCGGCAACTGATGAACACCTTTTCTTATATGATCATTGAAAATATGATATGCTTCTATAACTTAGGTGCGGATGAAGTAAAATGAACCAGTCATACCTACGATGAGTTGACAAAACTACCCTATGAAAACCCACAAAGCTTATAAAGTAATAAAATACTCCATCCAGCCCACAAAGATAGTCTGCTATTTCATTTTGGTTTCTACGATGAGTTGACAAAACTACCCATCTCAAAATGAACCAACCATACCTACGATGATTGCCGCCGCTCGCCGGTGCCTGGAGTTGGGGAGAAAAATTCACCATTCAAAACTTTATAAATCGCCGGAAATGGAGAAGTGGGAGAAGAAGTCGATCTAAAAAGTAAAAATGGATGAAATTAGATGGGGGAGGAGGGAGATGAAAAGAATGTGGAGGCAGAGGGTTGTTGCGTGAGAAACAGAGAGAGTTCTGACAGAAGGAAAAAAAGTAAATTAGCTTATTTACAAAGAGGGTATAATTGACAAATGAAACGGACCAGTCAACTAATAGTGCTCCTATTTAGGGGAAAAAAACAATAACTCCTATTTTGGAATTTTGTCATTGTTTTAGTCCCATTTAGAGCAATTACTTTTATAACTTTAATGCTGAACAGATTTTGATGGTGTTCATGAATGTTTTTTTAATAGGCACTCAAAGTGTATGTTCCCTCGTTCGAGAGTTATGGACAGATGTGGCCACATATGCACACCCGCATCTTAGCGGCCTTGGTTCTCTATCAGCTGACAATGTTTGGTTATTTTGGAGCGAAGCTGTTTCACTTCACCCCATTTATCATCCCTCTGCCGATATTGTCCTTCATCTTCGCCTTCGTCTGCAGGAAGAGGTTCTACCGGTTTTTCCAATGCACAGCATTGGAAGCAGCTTCCCATGAATTGAAAGAGGTTCCTAACATGGAAACCATCTTCAGGTCTTTCATCCCACCATGTTTGGGTGCAGAAAAGTCAGATGGGGATCATTTCGAAGATGCTTTGTCACATGCTTCAAAAACAGTTTCCAGTGTCTGACTTGCAATGCTCATATATGAATTAAAAAACTGTGTTTATTGATTGATGTCGCCGCTTTATTGCACTCGATCTGTTTCATGGTGTTTACGTTCCTATAGTTCATAGCTTTGTTGTAGTGTATGTTGGACTATTCTACAACCGTTGGTCAATGTGATTGTATATAGTCAAAGGTGATTATATATATTGTCAAAGGTTTGATAAAAGAGTGATCCAGTTGTTTTATTGTCAAATAGGCCCTTGAACTGACTTAAAGTGTTCAATTAGTCGCTTATATATATGGGTAGACCGGTTCGGGCCTGGGCCCGGCCGGGCCTCGGTTTAGAAATGGGAGGCCCGGAACCGGCCCGGGTAATCCCGGGTCCGGGCCGGGCTGGGCCTCGGTTCTATTTTTTTTTTTTTTGGCTTTTCCTAATTAACCCCCAACCCTCCCCCCTCACCCCCAAACCACCTCAAATGGTCCAAAATACCAAGCCCAACCCAAAAACTTAAAAATAATTCAAAAAAAAAAATAATTAATTTGGCCCGAACCGGCCGGGCCGGTTCGCCAATCAAAGGGCCCGGGCCCGAACCGCATAGTAACCGGGCCGGGCCGACCCGAACCGCCCCCCGGACCAGTTCAAACAGTAACCGGGTCGGGCCGCCCGGCCCGAGTCCATCCCTACTTATATAGGAGGTTCTGCCCGGCCGTCGTCAATTGGGGCAGTTCTCGGTGGAATTTTTTGATGAATTTTTTTGAACATCTTCTTTATTAAGTCTAGTTTATTCATACCAAATTTCAGTTAAAATTTTAACCGGGAAGGCAGTCAAATGATTTTTTGATAATAATTGCAAAGTTAAACAGCGCAGTACATTTCCAAAAATCATTTGACTGCCTTCCCAGTTGAATTTTTAGCTGAAATTTGATATGGGTAAACTAGACTTAATGAAGAAGATGTTCAAAAAATTCCACCGAGAACCGCCCCAATTAGCGACGGCCGGGCAGAACCTCTTATATAATGGGCTAATTGAACACTTTAAGTTAGTTCAAGGACCTATTTGACCCTTTAGCCTTTTTTATTTGACTTTTTTGGTAGTTACTCTGGAGTATTTTTGAATGAAAGAGGCTTACATTGATAACACATCATTCAGATAGTAGATAATTCGACAAAACAACTCCTGACGACTGTCGTCCCTCGAACGAGACTCATAGTTTATCGCCTCAACAATAAAAAACCCGTTCATCCATTAATAGGCACAAATGAGTCAAAGATGGTTACCACAGTCTTCCATCATCCAAATCCAAACTCACAGTCTTACAATCGAAAGAGATAAACAACAAATAAACACAGACAAATTCGGACCATTAACATAAATAAAAGCAAAAAAATAAATTTCTTCACTCAGCCTTCCCAGAACCACTGGCGGCGGTTCATGAGGGGGTCGGATCGCCTTCACTTCATCTTCTTCCTTCATCGCCTTGATCGGCCCTTGAGTCGCCTCCAGCCAAATCTCCCTATCCACGAACGAATTGTCGAAAGACGGCACCGCTCCTCGCCAAAAGACGATAGCGGACAAATAAAACTCTAACGGTGAAACCCTAGAGACAGAACGCGAATCCAGCATGATGTAGCCCTCCTCCTCCTCTTTGACCAACGAAATATCGATCACCGCGGTCTTCATCTCCATGGCAAAACGAAATCTTATTTGATACGGTACTTTCAAGTTTGTTACACATTATTTTAGTCCGGAAAGTTTTTTTTAGTTACTCCGGAGTATTAAATAGTTAGTTTTATGTTTTCTTCCGTGCATTATTTTCTTATAAAATAACAACGCTTAACGGAAACCTCACCTTCCAGTGCAGCTGTGGGGGTGAGGTTTATTGTTGTAGCAGTAAAGAAGTTTATTGTTTACTGTTATTTTAATTAAATGATATAGATTTGTAAAATTTAGATCAAATCGATTTAGATAAAAGTAATTGGTAAGATCATTATTGTTGTTGTTACTATTTATTATTATCAGCATATAACCTGGTGTGTTACATGGGTGAAAAATTTTATGGAAAAATAGCCCTAAATAGGATTAAACTAATTCTTAAATGCACAAATAAGATTATGCTATTTATTTTCTCAGGATAATACTAAAGTATACTCTATCTTTCTATTCTACTCTTCCTTCACAAAAATCTTTCTATTCTACTCTTATTATAACTTGATAGGTAATCATATTTTAATTTATAAAAAATCGTTAACAAATATTTAAAAAAACTGAAAAATATTTTCAATAAATAATAAAATAGAAAAAAAATAATAGAATTAAAATTAAAAAAAAACTGTAAAAGAAAAAACAAATAACAAATATAAAAATATGGAGGCTTTCCCGCAGCCTCAGCCACCTCCCAGCAAGGATACCTCCAGTCAGCGAAAAATGTCATTTTGTGTAAAAGCTATCTGATAGAGTATATAGACTCGGACCCTGGGCATCACGACTATTGGGCCCAGACAGCGGCCCGGACAGTGGCCCACATATGCTCAGTAGATAGCATTTATTTCCTTGTACACTATATTTATTCAGATGTATTCATTAGAATAGATTAGATACCATTTATTAGCCATTTATTGACCTTTTAATTGTAATTGGGCCTTCCAGGCCCAAGCCTGGAAGCCCAGCCCGCTTTTCTCTTATAAATACTCCTTATGGGAGCCATGTAAAAGGATTGGAAGGTTGGAAGTTGGAAATTCATTATACACATATCACTTTATCTCTCTAGCTCTCTCTTCTCTCTAGAATTAAATAGTCTATCATTATCATTTTTTCTCTAAAAATGTCACGAAGATAATATTTTTGCTCTTTGAATTTTTTTTCCCGAAATTGCCATCAACATGGCAGTAGCGAAACATGCTGGCATTTATCCGGTGCTCTGGGTTGGTGGTGATGGGAGGTTGTTGAGGCAACAACAGAGCCTACATATTTTTTTTACTTTTTACGTTTTTATTTTTTATTCTAAATTTTTAGGGGTTTTAGGTTTATACTATCATAAGTTTTTTATTTTTCTAATTTTGAATTTTATTAATTTTATTTAATATTTGAAAGAACTTATAAAAGATCCTAGAATATTGAAGATTCAATGCTGAAAAATGAAGAAAATTTGTCCTCAAGATGGTTTCTAAACCCTCCATTGTCCAAAATTGGGATTTAAAGGCTATTTAAATAGAAAACGGTGAAAGAGGGCTGAAATTGAGCTTTTTGGGGCGAAACTGGACCGCACACAGTCGTTCGCACGGTCAAAGGTTTCCGTAAAAACACGCGCACACGGCGTGCGAAGTTTGGGCTTACGGCGTGTGCAATTCTGGCGCATGGCGTGCGCACTTCTCGTCCTACTTTGGCTATTCTTCCTTCTTCGAAATTGTAGCTAATTAAATCCTTTATCTACCACAATTTGAATCAAGTGGTTTGGATCATCCGATCAAAAGATATAGATGAAATAGTGAAAGTGTCATCCTGAAATTTCAACATCGATTATCTTACTTCCTCGTCTGGTTTCACCTTGATGCTTTCATCTGCGGTTTCAGCATCGATATACATCATGATGGTTTCAACCATGATGTATATCAGACTTCCAACTGGGGAAGAATATGGCACGACTGACATCTCCCCTATCTTTTTCTTCGATGTGGAACATGTTTTTTTTCTCAACTTGAAGTGATTCGTAAATGGAACACTAACTGATGTTCTTTTTCTCAACTTGAAGTGATTCGTAAATGGAACACTAACTGGTTTGACATCGTTCATGTTGGATCTCTAAGTACTCATTCAATGTACTTCTTCTAAGATAGCCATAACTTACAATTCTTCTCTCTCGGGTGATGATGTGCATCTTATTGAGCCAGTCCTAAGTGTTTCATATCAAAAGACTTAGAGAGTTGTTTCTACAGTTGGTTTATCTTCATTGCATCTTTTCCAACAGTCAACATGTCATCTACACATAGTAGAAGAGCAATAAAGGTACCATTAGAAGTTTCTTGATGTATACACACTCATCCGCAGTAGTTCTCATGTAACCTTGACAATTCATCCACGAGTCAAACTTTTTTTTTTGAAAGAATGCATGAGTCAAACTTCAATCTTATTTATTTTGATTATTATATAATTCAACATACGAAATCAAAAGTTGCGTAATTAATGAAAAAGTTGATAGATAAAAGTGATAAGTTGAAAAACAAGATCTAGACAGACTTCCGGAATGTGAATTAGGCTAATTTTTTTTTTTTTGCGGAAAATAAAATTAATTGCTATTAATCAAATCATAATCAAGTACATCAGTAACAAAAGGAGGGGAAGTAAAAAACCAAACATGACTATCAGACAAAGAACCCGCTGCCTTAGCCATCGCATGAGCTGCTCGGTTCGCTGATCGTCGAACATGAGAAAAAATAATACTAACAAAGTTAGTCATCAAATCTCGTATATCCTCGGCTAAAATTCCAGAATAAGATAAACTTGAACCCCTTTGAATTTCTTGAATAGCTAGAAGAGAATCAGATTCCACATCAATAAAATCCCATTGTTGAGCCTTAAGCCAACTGAGAGCTTCCCTCACACCCATAAGTTCAGCTTCGAGAGGGGTAAACTTACCGGTCCCTGAAGTACATCCACCTGCCAAAAATATTCCATAGCTATCTCTTACAACCCATCCGAACCCGCATCTCTCTCCCCCGGTTGAGGCATCGACATTAACTTTCCGCCTCCCTGCACCAGGTCCCTGCCAGTGAATTGCGCCAGCGGTGAGTTTACTCCTAAAAAATGATGTTGGTTGCTGCACTTTAACCCAACTGTCAACATAGTCGACAATTTTTGCCTAATAATGCAGTTGTTGGTCAAAATCCTGAAATGTGAATATGCTAAAAAGGTATACCATAGTCTACACCAATAAAATCCACTGTCGGTTTTCCATAAGTAATTATTCTCGGAATTTGGGATGGAAGATCGTCAAGATGGAACTTTGGAATTGAGAATTGAAGAATCAATCGGAGCGAAATAACCGAATAATATACTCAATAGAGTTTTTATTTTGCAAAAAACAATAATTTAGCCGAGATGCAAACTATCGGCTGTCACCCGCACAGCCACCCTTCAATCGCCGATCTCCGCCGAAACAGTCGCCGCTCTCCGGCCGTGGAGACATCTCCCGTGATCCGCGCCTACAAAGATGCCAGATTCGAAGCTCGCAAAAAGAAGGGCTCAACTAGAACGTCGAGGTTGGCCGAGTCCCTGTCAAACTTCATCAATCTTCAGATCGAGACGGCCACCATTGCCCGACGGAACAATCTTGTGAACGTCGAAGACAAGGCCGACACTCCCATATCGTCTCCCAAGCAAAATATATCCCGCGAGTGGCGCGAACTCCATGGTTGCCGGGAATGGGAAGGTCTTCTCGACCCGCTCCACCCGTTTCTCCGGCGTGAGATCGTCAAGTACGGTGAATTCGCACAGGCAACGTACGACGCGCTTGATTTCGACTACTGCTCGGAGTACGCCGGGAGTTGCAGGTACAATCCCCACAAGCTGTTCGACGAATTGTCGCTTACAAGGAGCGGTTACAGAGTCGTCAAGTACATGTATGCCATGTCGCAGATCGACCTACCGGAGTGGCTAGAGGCGTCTCAATTGGTCAACCGGTGGAGCAAGGACTCGAATTGGATCGGGTTTGTGGCCGTGAGCGATGACGAAGAAACGCTGCGGATTGGCCGGAGAGACATCGTTGTGGCGTGGCGGGGAACAGTGACGCCAACGGAGTGGTATGAGAACACGCAGAACAAGCTGGTGGCGATCGGGCAAGGAGAAGGAAAAGTCGAACAAGGCTTCCTCAACATCTACACTTCGAAGTGCGATTCCTCGCCATACAACAAATCCAGCGCGTCGGAGCAAGTCATGCGGCAGCTCCGAGACTTGGTGGAAGCATACGGAGGCGAAGAAATGAGCCTGACAATCACCGGGCACAGCCTGGGTGGCGCGCTAGCCGTTCTGAATGGCTACGAGTCGGCAGCCAACTTCCCCGGCCTCCCAATCGCCGTGATATCCTTTGCATCACCAAGAGTAGGGAACATCGCGTTCCGCGACGAGCTGTACCAGATGGGGGTCAAAACGCTGCGCGTGACGGTGAAGCAGGACTTGGTGCCAAGAATGCCTGGGATCGTGTTCAACGAAAGCCTGCAGAAGTTTGATGAACTGACAGGAACACTGGAGTGGGTTTACACGCACGTGGGAGCTGAACTGAAGCTGGATGTGAGAGCATCACCGTATCTGAAAAGAGGGTTTAATTTCGTAGGGATCCATATGCTGGAGACGCATCTTCATCTGGTGGATGGGTGGGTGAGCAGGAGTTCAACGTTTAGGGGCGACGCCAAAAGGGATGTGGCGTTGGTGAATAAAGATTGTGATATGCTGGTGGATGAGCTCAGAATACCACCCAACTGGTACCAATTGGCCAATAAAGGTCTGGTGCGTAATGCTTCTGGTAGGTGGGTTAGGCCCAAAAGGAAACCTGAAGATGTGCCTTCACCAACCACCTTCTAACCTCAAAATATCCAATTAACAAACTTCTTGTAGGAATCTTTTTTCCCATATAATCCTATTTTTTTTAATATACCTAGTAGCATTTTATCCAGGAGAGATATGAATCTTCATTGTATAGTATGTCCTGAAGCTATTCTATTCTGCATTGGCCGGGTATGTACAGTTAAATATTGAATCATTCTGATTCCATGTAATCATTTTGATTCTCTAATATAATCACAAAACTGGTTTGATTTTAACCTTACGGGTATGCTTTGGCCTGATTTTTTCTTTGCATCGTCTATATGAATGTTTTTATCATAAATGGCTTATTGGTTTACATTTTCTTTAATTATGATATTTACATCTTGTCTAAATTAAGATGTATTGATGTATTATGATCTATGGTGGATCAAGTGATTTTTTATATCTTTGTTTGGAGAGAATGTTTATTCTGTGTGCTAAATGAAACACTATGTGAAGTGAATAAAATAACTAAACAATTGAAAGAATAGATTTCTGACATTTTAACTGGCAGTGTTATCGAGTTACTGCTTTAATTAATACGAGTACTCCTTGACGTTTATAAAAACAAAGAATAGATGCTCTTCACTACCAAAATCATAACATAAAAACAATAATTATTACTGTACACTTAACAAAATAATAGACACTATTACCGAATCAGTGAATGAAAATGAAGAGAAAAAAAAGAAAGAGAATATGCATGGAACAAAAAATAGGAAGAAAAAAAAAGAGGAGCTACTAGAGTACCACCGCCAACGGTTATGTCGTAGTTGCAAATGCAAAGGTTAGATGCTCCCAGGACTGCTGGAATATCCCTTAGAGAAATCTTGTTTAAACTCAACAGTCTTTTGAGCGGTGGAGAAGGTTGAGGGGGGCATATGCACTGGATCTTTTGGAGTAGACAACGTGATTGGTTGCCCCTGTGAAGTGGTTGCAGCCTCTGCAAAGTTTCTGGCAAAAAATGCTATGTCGGTGGCAGATTTTCGTGGATTGGGCAACATACTTGCAAGAACTGCGTTCAGTGTGTTTGCAGCCATGGCGGTGTCATATCTTTTCATTGTCTATTCATAAGCATTGTCTGAGCCTCCATTATCTTTCATTTCTTATTGGTTTATTCAAGTTTTACATTTCTATTGATTTTATGTTACTAAGATTGGGGCTTTCAGGGAGCAACTGTAAGAGTTTATGAGTCTTAAAGGGTGGTTGCTCCTCTTTCTATGTAACTTTATGTACTGTGCAGTTCAGCCTATTATTTGTTCAGTGCCAAAAAAATGTTGGGAAAACTGTCAAATAGGTCCACGTACTATTACCAAAAAGTCAATTAAGTCCATGTACTTTTTTCGAGTCAATTAAGTTCGCAAACTATCAAAAAACGATCAAATCGACAATTTAATAGGTACTCAGCCGGTCATCCGGTTAACTGCCTATGTGGACGTCCAGCTGAGATATTTTTTAGTCTTTTCTATATTTTTTATTTTTTATTTTCTTTTCCTTTTTCTTTTTACATTTCTTTTGCATCTGCAACTCCATCGATCTCCCTGCTCTGCAACTACGGATCTATGGAGGAGGAGGTTGTGGTGGCTATGGAGGCTGGTGCGATTGGACGTTGTTCCAATAGAAGAGGCGGAGGTGGAAGCTGGAGGCCGTAGGTATGGTGGTTAGGGCAGCGGAGGTGGTGGCTATGGAAGCCGGTGCGGCTAGAGGTCGTTTCAATGGAGGAGGCGAAAGGGAGGTAACGGAGGTGTGGCTGGAGGCGGTTTGTGTATGGCGGAACGGGCTGTTGATGTGAGGTGGAGGTCGGACTCCAGATGCAGTGGCTATGGATGCTGGGCGGCGGAGGTGCTGGCTAGAGAGGCTGGGAGGCGGAATTCGTTCCAGTTGGAGTGTGGCGGAGGCGACAAAAATGGAAGAAAGTGGTCGGAGTTCTGGTCGAGACAAGAAGGGAAAGAAAGAAACGAACCAGGCGGAGAAGTGAATTGGGAAGGAGAAGAGCGTACCAGAGGAAGAAAGAAGAAGAAAGAGAAAAAAGATAGAAAAGGAAGAGAGAAGAAAAAAAGGAAAAGGAAAAGGAAAAGGAAAGAAAATTAAAAAACAATGAAAAACAATTAAAAAAATGCCACCTCAGACATCCACGTAGGCAGTTAACTTGGAAACCGGCTGACTACCTATTAAATAGGCGATTTGATCATTTTATGATTGTTTGCGGACTTAATTGACTCGAAAAATAGTACATGGACTCAATTGACTTTTTGGTAATAGTACATGGACTTATTTGACAGTTTTCCCAAAAAAGTTTAGCAGCCCTAAATGATGACCGATAGATGACCAGAGTAAGGTCACTTAAGTGTTTAATTTCACTTTAAAGGATGTATTTGTTGGTGGTGCTGTTGTTGCAGTCGTCTGTCTTAGCAGGTGTGCAAACATAATATGCTAATGTGATAGAGAGCACGGAGAGAAGGGGGTTGTGTGGAAGAGGAAGGCCCAAGACCCATGCCTCTGTCGGTTTACGGTTTACCGGAGGCAGAGACGGACTTGAGCCCACCTTCGTGGGCTGGCTGTAGGCCATTTAATTAATTTTATTCTTTTATAATTTTGTTGATTTGTTTCCTTTTGGGAGTTGATTATGATTTCTAAAATTCGTTTCCTATTTGGAGTTAATTAGAGTTTATATTATTTGTTATCTTTTTGTAATTTATTAGGATCTCTATTATTCTATTTTCTATTTGGAATTGATTTAGGATTTCTATGATTTTGTTCCTAGTTTCGGAATTAGTAGATGTGTATTTAAAATCCTTGTTATGATTCATTCTTGGTTATTAGTTAATAAAATTGGATTTCAGCCTGGTGTCTCTAGACAACGGTTTCTACCGTTGATTTTTAATTCTTGTTCTCATCATAATGTGAGGTTGTGATGATCATTATATTATAAAATAAATATCACATCAATGAGGCTTTCCATCATTTTCAATGAAGTTAGAGATTCACTATTGTTGGCCTAAGAATATGATGGGATAAAACAAAATTGATCACTAAATGTCTGCGCTTCTTTGTTATGAAGAATCAGTCGGTTCGTGCGATTTTCGACGCGAATTCATCATGGGTCATCCGAAACCAGTCTCTATATTCTTTAGGATAGGGGTAAGGTTGCGTATATCCGACAGTCTCTTACCCCACCGTAGGTGGGAGCTGTTGCGGCAATGAGGTGATGTTGTTGTTGTGATCAAATCAATGAGGCGACTTGTAACTTGTTGTTTTTGCAGCCATGATAGGGTGATCCTTTTTTCGTAATTTTGATAGTGAAATTGCTACACGAGCCTCATCTACTTAAGAGGAATAGAGGATGGCTCGCTTTATGTGTCCATATAATATTCTGGTTTACTTTAATTCTTTCTACAATTACTACACTCAAAACATCCCATGAATCATGAATCAGTGTCCTTAAATATCCAAGTATTTAACATTGTATATATGATTCATGCCTACATCTTCAAATTTTGTTGTTTCATCATCCGCATTGAAATATTTTGAAACAAAGACGAAAGCTTTTATGGATCATTCACAATAGTTAATTAGTTTCAAAGGGTGGCCACTCTCCTTGTCTATGTTGCTCAATTTGTCTAAGATTTATTCAATTTGGTCAAAGCAAGTTAAGCTTATCCAACATTCATTCCTATATTAGTATCCTTGAGTTATTACTTTGCATTTATACAATATACTAGTTATTAGTTATGTTTTGTGCGGAGAAAAAGTGCTCAATGCGCCAATAATGTATTTCTTCAATCATATTATGATATGCTATTGATATCTTTTAAGTTTAGCACATAATAATTGTTCTATAAAAAGAATGTTCATATATCTTTATAAATTCTCGTGTTAATATCTACAGTGAAATGCAGCCTTCCACCTAACTTTGATTACCTTATGTTTGAATAAAGACTGTATTTTAACTTATTACAATGTTTGGATGAGACGAGATGACCAAGTTTGGAAGGGTGAAAGACTAGATGAGACATGGACGAGTAATCCGGTGTGGTATGGCTACTCTTCAAGCTTGGGGTGCTGCACATGAAGTCAAAAGCTGCCCCGCGGAGGTTTCTACAGGGGGAAGATCACTGGAGAATGTCAGAAGTTGGGATTGTTAAAATTAATGTTGATACTGGTGTAGATATACGAAGAGGACGCATAACTTCGGATTGTTGGTCCATGATTCAAATGGCAGATTTCTGGAAGGGAAGGAGGCGGTCATAGCAGCAGATTGGTTGCCTACAGACATAGAGGCATTGGGTATTCATGCAACGGTGAATTGGGCTTTAGGAAAAGGCTGGACCAAAGTTGAAGTGGAAACGGATGCCCTTCAAGTGTTCACTAGTTTACACAAACCTTCTAGATTTTCGTATTTTGAATTAGTTGTTAATATTAGGGATCTGCTAGCAAATGAAGTTGATTATGTTATTGTGCATTGCAAGCGATATGCAAATCGCACTGTTCATTTAATTGCTAGGGCGGCAATTCCAAAGTCAGGTGGAGAGTTAGAGTTTGAGTCTCCTCGTAGTTATATTGTAAGTGAGTTGATGAATGATATTCTTGAATAATTAATGAGATGTGTTTCCTTTCAACAAAAATGACTTATTACAACGTTCAAATATTTAGTCGAGTACGATATACCGTATTCATTTTCATAATATGATAATATAAATGATTTTTTCAAAATGAACTTATATGTACACACATGTACATATGCATATTCTATAAATAATCCAGACTTTGTAAGGACTATTGCATCATCTTCTTCAACTTTTGTAAAGATACATATCAACAAAAAACAACAAATCCAATAAGATACTATCGTAATGTTTTGCAAAACATCAACAAAAGCTACAAATTAAAAGAACTAAGAGTGATTAGTATTATTATTAATTACTTATTATTATTATTTTCCTTTTTTTTCCTTTTTCCCCTTTTGGCGCTATCATGTATCGATTCATGTTAGCCGACCCCAATATCGTCTGAGGCTAAGGCTTCGATGTTGTTGTTGTATTATTATTGAAATAGTTATTATTATTAGGGGAAAATAATTTAAATACCCCAAACTATAACTAGTGTGAAACAAGTACCCCAAACTTGCATATGCAATATATATACCCCGA